ACAAGAGTTGTCGATGTTAGGGGGGTTGTGGGAAGATATGTATATTTATATATTACTTATGGGGCTCTGAGTTAGTATAATTGGAAAACAATTTGGATTTATGCAAATAAAGTCAGCAAAATGTCTAGACCCTTTGACCAGGATTCCACTACTAGACTTATTTATACTTGAAGCAGGTCATTGATAAGAAAGTTTCCATGTATACACAAAAATATTTAAAGTAGCTCTTTTTGTAGCAGCAAAGATTTGGAAACAAAGCAGATAGGTGCCCATTGATTTAGGAATGGCTAAACAGCTTGTGGTCCATGAATATAATGGAATATTACTATGGTATAAGAATTGGTGAAGATAATGAGTAAAGAGAAAGAAAAATTTTCATAAAAAGATCCTGGGAAAAATCAGATATTATCAAAAGCAAAAGATTTCAAAGGCAGGTAACTGATGAGAAGCAAAAAAATTGTATATGAATAATACCAGGATTATTAAATCCCCTAATGAGCTGAAGATACCTTCTTTTTTTAAAAGCTTTGTTTGCAGAAGACCCTAAAAGAAGGAATAGAACTTGTTTTGTGGATGAAAAATGAAAAAGACAAATATTCAATTCTCATTTTGTTTCTGTTTTCTTTACTGAAGTTAATGATCTTTACACTGATATTTGTATAGTACTGTTAACGTTTATAGAATCTTTATAGAATGTTAAATTTAATATAGAATATTAATTAATTTATATAGAATATTAAATTTAAACTCCATCACATTGTGTTGTTGGTAATGGCAGTTGTTACTATTTTCATTTCACTGATCAGTAAAATGAGATGCAGAGGTTATGAATTATTTATGGTCCACACAGTAAATAGCTGAGATGGAATTTGAACCCAGATTTTTTGGGGACTTTTTTCTGCTCTGCCATCCTATCTCCCTATATAAACAAGAAGATAAAACATCTTGTCATTGATTTTGTCACTGCCTCTGTGAGGGAAAAGTGCTAAATTTGAAGTTGGAAAATCTCAGTTCAAATCCTGGATCTGACCTTGGTAAGTCATTGAACCTCTCTGGGTTTCAGTTTCTTTTTTTTCTTTTTTTTTTTTGGCTAGGCAATGGGGTTAAGTGACTTGGCCAGGGTCACACAGCTAGTAAGTGTTATATGTCTGAGGTCGGATTTGAACTCAGGTCCTCCTGAATCCAGGGCCAATGCTCTATCCACTGCACCACCTAGCTGCCCTATGGTTTCAGTTTCTTCATCTGTAAATTGAGAGTTTTCAACTAGAAGAGCTCTAATGTCCTTTTCATCCATAAATCCATGCTGCTATGCCTGTATGAACTATAATCTAGAGCATTTAAAGAATTTGTAAAGACTCTTTATAATCTTTGAAAAATTGTGAACAGGAGAAGTTGTGATAGTCAGTCTTTAGATGAGCAAATGTCTAAATTTTCAAAAAGTCAAGTAGATTTAAAAAACTCAGGTCTTTTGAGCCTGAGTTTAATGTCTCAAAAACAAAATTCTGTATGAAATCCTAGATCAAAGGGATAATTAGTACTTAAACAATGATGCATAGGTTCGTTGAGAACAAGTGTGCCAGACTAATCTTCATACCTTTTTAAAAAACAGTTAGTAGACTAGTAGATCGGGGAAATGCTGTAGATAAAATATTCTTGGCTTTTAGCAACATTATTAGTGTTGAAATAAAAAATATTAAACTTTTAATTTTAGAACTTTGTGATTTATGCTTGTTCACCACAAGTAATTTAATTTTAATATTTATCCAAGTAATTTTCTAGCTTTGAAAGAGAACGTTGTCCAAAAATGTCATAGTCTCCCTTGCCTTTTGACATGATTCTCTGTCAAGAAGTTTTCAGGTGTTATTTATAGAATCTTATGAATAAGAAAAAGATTATAATATGTTAAAAATACAGTTTGGGGTTAACATAACAGTCTCTACTCAATTCTTTCCTGGACCACTTGGAAATTACTTCTCAGTATCTTAACTGTGAATTTCAAAAGAGAACAATGACCTCTACTCTTCCCACTTTCCTAAAGGGAAGAGTTTGAGACAAGGTTTTAGGCTGGAGAAATAGCATTTCTTTATTTCCAGAGAAATTAAAATGAAGTTTTAGAAAATGTTTCCACATTAGGTAAGGCCATTGCTTCTCCTAACATACTCATCTGGAGACTTCAGATAGGGCTTCAGCATCACATAGTACTTAAGTGCTGTGTGTGTGAACTCAGTAGCATATGAGGCTTGACTGAAACTGAGACCAACACTACACTAGCACTAGAGAATACACATGCCAGAATGATAGTACAAAGGATACCTCAGCAATGCAAGTGGATGTTGTTTCTCACCCAGAGACCTCTGTCTCTTTCTGACAGTCATTCCTTATGCCAACTAAATGCTTTCTTGACCAAGATTAATAACAAACATTATGCATATCTACTCTGTGCTTCAATTAATGACTGGTTACTAGTTCTACCACAGATTTATACAGTGGCAGCTATCTTACTGTCTGGCTCTCTATGATACAATCAACAGTTTCGTCTTTTGAGGCATTTGCTCTTGAAGAACTGCAGAAGGATATTTTCTTCTGTGCTATAAATGCTAGTACTTGTACACCTTTCTATCTCCCAAACAAATCCAGATGCATAATAGTGTTTTTCTGTTGACTTAAGTTATCTGATACTATCTTGTGATATTCTTATGGACAAGGTGAAGTAATGTGGGCTTGATGCTGGCGAATATACTTAGGTGGATTCCAAACCTGATATGCTGATTTTTAATAGATTAATGTCAAACTGGAGTTATGTATCTAGTGAGGATGCCACAAGGTTCTGATCCGTAATCCCATTATATTCACCCTTTTTCTTAATTAATTGAATGAAAGGTCTAGATAGTATACTTCTAAAATTTGCAAAAGCTGGGAGAGGTAAGCTGGGCCGACAGTATTGGGGTCCAAAAAGATAGTCCTCAAGGCTAGAATTATGGGTAAACTTAATCTAATAAGAAAATGTTAAATATTAGGATCGATGCTAAGTCTTAAAAGTGTACAGTTGATTTAAAAAAAAAACTCTTGTACTGGACAAAGGAAAAGTGTCTACATACAGGGGGAGGAGGGAGGCTTGTATAGTAAAATCAATATAAGTTAACAATGTGACATAAGTTTAGAAGCATAGTGCCCAGAACAAGGGATATTATAGTACTTCTATATTCTTCCATGTTTCTTCAAACAGACAGTGTCCAAGCATTTTTTAGCATTTACTATGTGCCCAGCACTGTGTTAAGTACTAGGGATACAAATAAAGGTAACAATATGGTTTCTGCCCTCAAGAAACTTACATTCTAATTGGAAGTCAACATGCAAAGAACTATGTGCTTACAATATAAATGGGAGGAGATAATCCCAGAGAGATGGCATTAGAAGTGAGGTGATAGAGTTAGGATAGGGAGACTGGGAAAGTACTTCTGCAGAAGATGAAATTTGAGCTGAGTCTTAAAGGAGGACAAGGAAGGCAGGAAGTGAAAGTAGAAGTAAGGAGGTGACAGCATGTCAGGCTTGAGGACAATCAGAGAAAAGACATAGTCTTGAAATGAAGTGTCTGTCATTTGCAAGGAACAAAAAGGAAAGATGTTAGTATTGCTTATTCATAGAGTATCTGAAGGGGAGTAATGGAGGGGAGTGTAGAGTGCAAGAATAATAGAAAAGTAGAGTCATGAAGTTTATGAATGGCTTTCAAAGCCAAACAGAAGATTTTATAGTTGATCCTGAGGTAATAGGGAGCCACTGGAATTTATTGAGTGTGTGTGTGTGTGTGTTTGTGTGTGTGTGTGTGTGTGTGTGTGTCTGTGTGTGTGTGTGTGTGTGTGTGTGTGTGAGACAGTCAGACTTGTGACTGGAGGACAGACTAGAGGCAGGAATTCCAACTACAAGGCTATTGCAGTAATTGAGATGATGAGCACGTGCACCAGAGTGGCTGACTTGTGAGTGGAGAAAAGGTGGCATATATGAGAGATGCTTTGGAGGAAGAGACTATAAGACTTGATGGTTAGAACATATCTAGAGTGTCATAGTTTTGAGCAGTATATTTTAGAAGAAACATGATCAAATTTTGTTTTTCATTTAGAGAAAGACTAACTTGGTGAAACCTTTGCAAACTATATTGTATGTATAATTAGCTTGGAGAAGAGAACACATGGGGCTTTGGGATTATTAGGCTTTTAAGTTATAAAGAACAATCTGGGTGTCAAAGAAGGAGGGAGAAAATATATCCCACTTCATTCTTTGCAAAGTTGGAGACTATGGTTATAGTAGAACATTGTGTATGCAGCCAGACTTAATGGATGTGTTATTTAGTTTTGCTGAACTGCATTTTTCTTTTTTGGTTCAGTGGATGACTGCAGATGTTAAAAGGGATGATTATGCAGGATTGGGGACAGTGGTGGTATATTTTTGAAACTTAAAGGGATGTAAATATGAGATCACTTTTTTAAAAAGAAAAGTACCTTCGGACAGGTTCTTTTAACATCATATAGTTTAAAGTTCTCCACCTCATCCTAAGGAGTGCAAGCATTAAAAATTTTAGTAATGGTACTTATGAGTAACTTTTTTCTATTTTTTGTGATTAGTTATTTGAAGGACTTGCAAAGTTGATTGTGCATAAGTAGCATTCCTGATCCCTTTCCTGCATTTAAGATTGTAAACCCACTGGGGAGTAAATCTCCAAAGTTTTGATTTATACAAACATTGACTAAATATTAATATGATGTTTATCATTTTTCTTTACACATGTAACAGATTCTCTTAATTTACAAACTGAGTAACTGAAGTAATATTTTAAAATGTTTGCAATGACATTTATAAAAGTAGAAAATTCTGGCAAGTTTTTATGTAAATACATTTATTTCTAGTACATATGACTAGTATACTTATAACCTTTTTCTTTGTAGTTCTCAATAAAGAACTAAAATTAAATAGTTTTGGTTTGAATAATGTTCTTATTCTGATAGAGAAGAAAAAGCTGGATCACTTACCAGTAACTGGAGTTCTATTGGGTAATCTCCACAGATCCACATACTTTGAAGTTATTGTGAATGCCTCGAGGACCATGGAACCGTTGAAATTTCAAATTTCAGGAAGGTAAGCAAGTACACTGAAGCATGTCTCTAGCATCTCCCAAATTTCCCTCCCCCACTTTCTTACATATACATCTGTACTGCATGCCCTCTCAGTTCCAGTGGATGGCCATCAAGAAGATTCTGATGCTGTACTGATTGGCAAGACAGTGTGGATCTGTGAGGGAAAAGACCCAATAGGAAAACTCCAGTTGCTGGTAAGTAATCCAGTTTTCACAAACTTGAGACATTTTCAAGTCTCTTCTCTTTGAAAAGAATCTAAAAGAAAGAAGTTGGTACAAGGGGAGACATTTTTGTCGTAAGTTCTGTGTAGTTTAAGGAATTTAGAGTCTTTTTAAAAATCTGTTAAGTGGAAAGCTCATTTTACATAGTTAAGGAGATTATATCCCATTTCACAGTCTGATGCAGTTTTCTAAAATTTGTGTAAATCAATATTGGTAAGTTGAATTACATTTTTAAAAGCACCAAAAAAGTTTATAGAAGTCCTATTTTTAAAAATTCTTTTCATAAAGTATGCAACAAATACCCCTTAATTTAACTGTTAGTTACATTTTGATTCACTTTGGACTTACTCAGAACAAAATATATCTGTATTTTTTAATTTTAGATACCATTTTCCTGATAAAAAATCACAATAGACTGTGATAAATCAAGTAATAAAAATTTCATTTAAACAACATCACTCCAGGGGAGTGAGCAAAGAGTATAAAGTAGTATAAGTAGTTGATAGCCTGAAATAATAGATATGCTAAAATAATAATAGCCTGAAAAAATAGAAATAATGTGAATTATTATGATGAAAACTAGATCAGTCTTAAAAATATTTTACTTTAACAAGGCTAATCATGCTACTTTATGGGAATTACCAATTTTTTTTAAAGGATAGGTTTATTTAATATCTTTAGGTGAATCACTGTACATTTATTCTAACCAAAAGACTTTATAAATTCAATGAAAAGTTGTAAACTTGCTATTCCTCACACTTCATTTCTAATATTGGTGCTTTTACATTCTCCAGCCTGGAATGCACTTCCTTCTTACTTCAGTCTCTGAGAACACTTTGTTTCCTCTAAGGCTCAGTTCAAGCACCATTTTCCATATTTGAAGCCTTTCCTGATCTCTTTAAATGCTAGTGTGCTCTCACTCAAACTATATTGTATTTAACTATTTTATATTCATTCTCTCTTCTGTATATCCTAATGTCCTTGTTGTTTCCCTTATTAGAATGCGAGCTCCCTGGGAGTAGAGATTATCTCATTCATTGTATTTGCATCACCAATGACTTGGAACATAGTCCAGTTAGTTGATTAATTATTCTGTCTTAAAGTTCCTCATCAGGAACTCAAGCCAGTAAAATCTGTGTTGTGATTTAATAAAAAAAAAACAAACCAATCAAACAGCTAATACATTTCTTTCTTCCTAATTCTTTATGGGAATGTTAGTAATTTCAGTGTTATTTTAGTATGAATTAGGAAAAGAAAGGAGGTTATTGTTAATGTAAACATTTTTGCTGTGGCATTTATGAAGATCTTTGTTGATATTTCACAGAAAAGGAACCTTAGCTATAGCTCATGTCCTCCAGTACTTTATAGTACAGTTTGTTATGTTGAATTTTTGTGGTAATAGATAATCTGGCTGATTTTTTAATCTATTTAATTAGGAGAGTACGACTAAAATTAATATTTGAAGGGCAAAATAATTCATTTTTATCAATAGTCTCCTTAAAAAATTGAGCAGCTCTATCAAGTTGTATAACCAGATGTTTAAGAAAATACTATTTTCCCTTGTAGGAAAATAAATAAAATAAGAAATGATAGGTATTATAATCATGCCTTTTGAAAGTCTAGTGATGAATTTTACTTGGGTGCTTTTATTTTGAGATTGAATTGTCTTAAATTCCAATTCATTCTTTGATACCACTGATTTTTTGTTGTTGTTCAGTCATTGCAGTCATGTCTGACTTTCTGTGACCCCATTTTGGCATTTTCTTGGCCAGGATACTAGAGTGGTTTGTCATTTCCTTCTCCAGCTCATTTTACAGATGAAGAACTGAGAGGCAGGCAGAGATTAGGTGACTTGTTCAGAGGTCCGATTTGAATTTACAAAGATGAGTCTTCCTGATTCCAATCCCAGTGCTCTATCCACTGTACCACCTACCTGCCCATTTATGGTTTACAAATCAACTATGTCAACCGTGGTTGGCTGATGGCTCATCCCTGGCTTATTTTGACTTTTTAGTCTAAAATGAGGTCATACTCAATATGTGCTTTTGCAAACCAGAGTGCATGTTTTATTTGTTTTTTTTGGGGGGGGGTGAGGCAATTGGGGTTAAGTGACTTGCCCAGAGTCACACAGCTAGTGAGTGTTATGTGTTTGAGACTAGATTTGAAATCAGGTCCTCCTGAATCCAGGGCCGGTACTCTATCCACTGGGCCACCTAACTGCTCCATAAAGTGCATATTTTACATTTAAAAAGAGAAGGTTTCTGGATACAGGTGAAGTCTGTTTATAATTTGGTGGTGCATTAGACAGAGTGTTGGACTTGAAGTCAGGAAGACCTGAATCTGAACCCTATTTCAAAGTTTGGTCAATTTTAATTATTTTGAGAAAGATCATTTTATTTAACAAACTTAGGGTTTGGCCTCCCCATTTAAGATGTGGAATTCACGTATACTTCAGTTGTAAGGCAAAATTTTAAAATAATAATATTAGATAGGTAGCATTAATTTAATGGGTTGTGGTTTGCAAAGTGCTTTACATGTTGCTTCATTTAATCCTTACAACAACTCTGGGAGGTGGGTGCTTTTATGAGCTACATTTTACATATTAGGAAACTGAGGCAAATAGCAGATAAGTGACTTCCCTAGGCTGACACAGCTAGTAGGTTTCTAAGCCTGGATTTGAGCTTGTGTCTTTCTGAATCCAGATATAGTGCTTGATCTGCTGCACTACCTTGTCACCTAACTTGTAGAAAGAATATGATTTTTATATATTTTATTAAAATAGAGAAAATCATTTTAGAACTTGGATGGATCTCAGAGGTGTTTAGTTCAACTAATATCTGAAATATGAATTTCTTCAACAATAACAACTGACTACTCATCCTCCCTTTGCTTAAAGACCTGTAGTGAGATGTCCATCTCCTGCGACAACCTGTTACGTTTTTTGAATAGTTCTGATTGTTAGGACTTTTTCCTTCATATTGAGATGAAATCTGGCAGTAACTTTCACCATTTGTTTTAATTCTGCCCTCCAGTAGAATAGGTCTTATCTCTGTCTTCTGTATTACAATAATAAGAATAGTGGTAAAGGTGCTAGTGATTTTTAACCTCCTTATAAAACTTAACATCTTAAGAAATATTTTTTCTTATTCAATTTAATTTTTTTACTAGATCCTAACTTTCTCATTGAGATGGGCCAAATCCATATGTTGATAGCTTTTTTGACCTTGATTCAGTATTCCAGTATAGTAACTATCTTTTCCAGCTTTGTCATTTCCAAATTTAATAAGTGTTCATCCAAATCATTGATTAAAACAAATGAACAAAACAGTGCCAAGGACAGAATCTGGTGGCAGTACACTGGAGACCTCCTTATTTTATGTCAATACCACTCCTTGGATTTAGTCATTCAGCCATTCTAAATCTTATTGTACTAGGATGCAGTGTAACTATATATAGGATATAGTTAATGAGCAATTTTACCAAACCTTATCAGACAAAAGTGTCTCATCAATTAATATTTCAAAGTTGTTTTGGTATTCTGGTGTCTGAAATATACCCAATAAACTTCTTTTCAGTTTTATGGTTATGTGTTTAAGTTTTAGGTTTCATGTAGCCCTGGGTAGAACCTGATCTTATTTGGGTTGGGTTTCCTGCATTCATCTGATGACTTCTATACACACTCTTCTTCCAAGGTAGGAGTAGCAATGGCAATCCCTTAATTTGACTTCAGTGTGACTTCAGGGTTTGGATGGATTTTCTTGGTGACATAAGTAACTTGGTGCAATTGATAATCAAAACAAACATTTACTAAGAGCATACTGTATGTGAGGTACTAGGAATACAAAGACAAAAATGAACAATCCCTGCTCTTAAGGACTGTATGATCTTTTTGGGGAGAAAACATGTATACATATAAGTATACACAAAACAGTGGAAGGTAATTTTGGTGGGTAGGCAGTAGCAGCTGAGTGAAGATCAGGAAAGGCTTTCTATAGAAGGTAGCTGTTGAGCTGAGCTTTGAAGGAGACTAGGAACTATAAGGGGCAGAGATGAGGAGAAAACATATTCAAGGCATGAGTGATAAGAAATGGAGAGTGGTGTGTGAGAAACAGTAAGAATGCCAGTTTGGCTGGAACATGAGCAAGAGAGTATGAGACCAAGAGCAAGACTGGAAAAATAGAATGAGCCAGGTTTGTGAAGAGCTTTTAGTGTTAAGCAGAGGAGTTTGTATTTGGTCCTGTAACTAATAGGGAGCCTATGTTCCACTTCTCCTTTTTTGACCAGACCTAAAACAACAATTAGTAATTATACCAATTACTTAGGTTTATTTACAGCCCCAGTATGGAGGGAACAGAGAACTGGGGAAAGGATTGTTGCTATTTATTGGTCTCCTGTCTTCTTAATATAGTAAGCAATGAGTGTTCTGCTTTTACTACTATTTTGACTTCTTTGAAATCAAAATAACTATTAATGTTTTTTTCGAAAAGAAAAAGAAAAGAGATTAGCATCAGTTTGATATTAGACAGGGAGTGGTTAAATTAAGATGGGACAATGATGCTGATCAATGTTCTGCCTGTCTTACATCCCTAGGAACTGAAAGATCTCATGGATATAATTGCTGAACTACTGTCTGATCTTTGAAAAGTTGTGAATTTTGGAGAGGTCCTTTAACTCAGGAGATGGGCAAATGTCCCTACTTTCAAAAAGGGAAGAAGGTAAATTCTTCAGAGTGTAGCCTGATGAGCTTGCTTTTGATTCCTGTCAAAATTCTAGGAAATGT